CATGTGGCAGCAGCCTGGCTTTATGCAATGCTGGGGATTGAACTTGGGGCTTCCTGTGTGTTAAGCCAGCACTCTACCAACCAACCTCCAGCCTTAGCTCTAGGAGGGGGGGGTGTCTTTGAAATAAAGGTGGATTGAGTGTTCTTACAGGTTTTTTTAGGGTCCCCTTCAGCTCTAAAGTGACTCTGTGTTGTCTGGCAGGGTACAGTTCAAACCTAGTAGCAGGGCCATGCCTCTAGAACCATTGTGCCCCCCCTCCCCAGATTTGTGTCTTTAGCACTACAGAATCCTCAAACTGGATGAGTCACACATTTGGGCGTCTCTGGGAACGGTGGAGGAACCTTAAATGGCTTGGTAGTGAAGGGACGAATATCCTCCTTTAAGAGGTGTTACACACTGGTGATCTTACCTTTTTTGGGGGAGAGGTGTGGCTGGAACAGGCTATGTAGACCAGGCTAGCCTCGAGCTCACAGAGATCTGCCTTCCCCTGTCTCCTGAGTGCTGAAACTGAAGACTGGACTGGACCTTACCTGTCCTGACCTTTCCAGTCATTTTCTTCTCCTGGTGGCTCCGTGCTTCCCGGGTCTCTTCTAGAGCATGATGAAGATGGGGCCTGGTACATATCATGATCTGCCCTGCCCTCAACCTTCCCCTGACCTCCACATCATAGCTGTTATTCCAGACCTTTTATAATTCCTCAGTTTCCTTTGCAGGCTCTCAGCTACTCTCAAATGGCAGTGTCCCTTGGACTTCCAGGCCTGCTCTTCTTCCTAAATTCTCTCCAGACCGACAACCCCAAATCTCTATCTTCAGCCCCAGTACCTCCTTGGTGCTGTGTAGAACTGCCCACTAGATATCCCCAGGCACTTCAAGACCAGTGAAGCTGAGGTCATCATCTCTCCCTGCCTCTCACCGGTGTGTGGCAAGCCTCCTCTGTAGCACCCTGCCGAGATCTCTGATCACATCATCTGTAGGTGTGGGTACAGCTGCCTGGATGGAGCCAGTCTGGGCACAGTTAAATAGGAGCCGTATCAAGGACCAGTACCTTCACCCTAAAGAAATTTAGGCATAGGTGTCACCCCAAGTATTGACGATGCTTTCTGGACTGTGATCTCAACATGAAGCTCGTGCTTGTTTGCAGGGCTTGTACACCAACATTATCTTTGACTCAACCCATTCTCAAGGTGTTTCTTATCTGTTAGTGGGCTCCAAGCCCACATGGATGGCAATATGCAAGGAGATTGATATAACCAAATGTCTGAGGTTCTAAAGAAAACAGGAGAAAAGGAAGGGCCTGTTTGGCTTCCCTTACCTCCATCCAACTGCCTACATAGTTGTGTTCCTAAGCTGTGTATGCAGACACAGCCTATGCATGGATAAGCATGGCTAAGCATACCTGTGAATTTGGATGACACATTGAACATCATTCTATTGCCGAGGTGATTTAAGATGCACCGAGAACCCGGTGTCATGGCACACACCTTTAATCCCAGCACTCAGGAAGCAGAGGCAGGTAGATCTTTGTAAGTTTGAGGCCAGCCTGATCTACAAATTGAGTTCCAGGACAGCCAGGGCTCTTATACAGAGAAACCCTGTCTAGAAAACCAAACAAAACAAACAAAGATGCACTGAGAGAAATACAAGTTTGGCAGCCTTTTCTGGTTTTCTTCCCCTGGCTCATCCTAAGAACATTTCACAGAACAGATTGGTATGCCCCCACAGGGAGATCTATCAGCACAGCCACCGAGGACAAACCCAGACCAAAGAAGGAAATGCAAGCGTTTGCTCTCTTGTAGTCTTGGGCAAAAATCCAAGGCTTGTCTCTTCCGGATATTGAGCACTGATGCTTCAGGGGAACCCCAGCCACATGAGTGACATCTCTGGGCCTCAAGCCCATGGCCTCTAACACTAACTGTAGTTCCTCAATTTAACGCACCTGTCCAAGTGTAAGAAAGACCAAGAATCCTCCTGGTTTCTCTGTTTAGTCTTGAATACATCAGAGAGGGATAGCTATGTCTTCTGCAAATGCTGGGTTAGTCCTTATAGACATCCCAGTTTTGGAGAGTGTCCTAGTATGGGTTTTTGTTGTTATTGTTGTTATGATAAACATAATGATCAAAAGCAGCTCGAGGAGGAAAAGGTCTATTTAGCGTACGCTCCCAGGGAACACTCTATCACAGAGGGAGACTGGGGCAGGGGCTTGAGCAAAAACCACGGGGAATGCTGCTTGATGTTGGGCTCATGCTCAGCTTAATGAATGAATGAATGAATGAATGAATTAATTAATTAATGTTTTTCATGACAGGGTTTCTCTGTGTAGTCCTGGCTGTCCTGGAACTTACTCTGTAGAGCAGGCTGGCCTCCAGCTCAGAGACCCACCTGTTCCTGCTGTGATTTAAGGCATATACCACCATGCCTGTCTCAGCTATCTCCATCAACAGTTAGCAAGGACGAAAACTCTACAGCCGTGCTCACAGTCCAGTCTGATGGAAGGGATCCTTGAGTTGGGTTCCCTCACCCCAGGTAACTCTGGGTTGTTGACAACCAAAATTAACCAGGACAGGAGGTCTCTCTTGAATGATGAGTCGGGCTAAATGGGTAGATGTGTCTATGGAAAGAAAAAAAAAAGCCCAGATAAATGTCTCATCTTCTGAATCATGAGATGCTTTAGCTTTATTCCTGGAAAAGAGTAAATTCAATAACCCAGCTCCTATCCCTGATTTATCTTTCTTTGTTTATAAAACTGGGGAATGAAGTCAGAGCCTTGTACCCTTGTACATACGAGGCATGCCTTGTACCCTTGTACATACGAGGCATGTGTTCTACCACTGAGCTATGTCCACAGCCCCCCTCCCCCCTCCCCTCTGCTTCTTGGTGTGTGTGTGTGTGTGTGTGTGTGTGTATGTGTGTGGTGTTGGCAGTTGGATAGGTAGGCATTCGTGAGCCAGCTGTGTGAATGGAGGTCAGAGGACAACTTTTGGGAATTGGCTCATTCCTTCTCCTACGGGTTTTGTGCAGCAAGCTCCTTTACTCACTGAGCCATCTCACTGGCCCTTTTTGTTTTGAGTGAAGGCCTCACTGAGTACACAGACTGGTCTTTCAATAACTCTGTAGCTCAGGCAGGACTTGAGTTTGTGTTTTTCTTGTCTCAGCTTCCAAAAGAGCTGGGGTTAAAAAGTCTAGTGCCACAGAATCAAGTCCCAGGACTTTAAATGAAGCCCACAAGGGTCTGAGCCCTGATACAGTAAAAGATACAGCAAGCTGTACCTAGAGATACTTTTGAGATGGCAGGAGGCAACCGCTTAACAAATGTGACTGTCCCCAATGAACACAACAGGCATTTCCTCTGAAAAAAATGTAGATGGCAGGAATGGTCCAAACAGACGAATCTACACAGCATAGACATGAAGTCGTGCTGAAGTCTGTGTGGCTTATTCCCCAACGATGCTGCACCCGGTGAGAATAACGTAACTCTCAACCTGCAATGACCACGGCAGTCCTCAAGTCTCTTTGATCTTAGAAATGATAGACAATAGTGATGGTGGTAACTGGGCCTTTAATCTTAGCGCTTAGAAAGCAGAGGCAGGGAAATCTCTGAGTTCAAGGCCATCCTGGTCTACAATAGTGGGTTCCAGGCCAGCCAGGGCTACACAGTGAGCCTCTATCTCAAACAAAACAGAAACAACTTTACAGAACACAACAAATAGCAATAATTATCCTATAAAATAGAAGAGGGCCTCCTTTGAGGGTCTCACACCCCCACCTGAACCCCCTGTTACTGGGAACAGTTTTCCTTGCAGATTCTTCATTTAGTTAGGTCCCAAGGAAAGTGTCATCTTCTTGCTTGGAGCTGTTTGTACTCATAGTGAAAATGGGTCGGGCTGGAGAGATGGCTCAGTGGTTAAGAGCATTGGCTGCTCTTCCAGAGGTCCTGAATTCAATTCCTAGCAACCACATGGTGGCTCACAACCATCTATCTGTAAAGGGATTTGATGCCCTCTTCTGGTGTGTCTGAAGACAGCGACAATGTACTCACATACGTGAAATAAATTTTAAAAAAGAAAGAAAGAAAAAAGAAAATAGGCCTTCCCTTTTAAGCCTTTGCTTCCTGACACACTCTGGGCCCAGGAGCAGCAGCTCCCCTCTAGGATTGGGTTTTCTAGACAGGCAGCTCTGAAGACTGGGAGCAGTTGGGCCTGGTAATATATATTGGTAACCACCGCAGAGGCAGTTTTCAGTGGCCTGAGTCTGTGTCTGTCATTCTGTAGGTTACCCCAGAGAAAGGTCCACTTAGTAGTGGCAGAATGATCTCTTGTGGGTAATAGGGAGATGGGGAAAGCGGAGAGACGAGAGCCCCTGCAGGAGGGCAGCGAGGGTAAGGGCTCCTGGGTCTTCCAGGATCTCACCCCCATCACATCTTGGTGGCACATACCCCTTTTACTGATGAACCTGAGGCCAGCTGTCTGGGAGAAGTCAGTCACAGGAAGTAGGACCTCGCTTGTCTTACTCTGGAGTGCAAGTTAACATTGTGCCATCGGGACCCCGAAAATTTAAGGACCTTCGCTCTCTTCCCTAGGGGACCCAAGTTTAGATCTAGTCTGATCTCACGGTTAGGTCTCCCTTTCCCACGTGGCAGACCAGGAACCTTTTTTTTTTTTTTTTTTTTTGGTTTTTCGAGACAGGGTTTCTCTGTGTAGCCCTGGCTGTCCTGGAACTCACTCTGTAGACCAGGCTAGCCTCGAACTCTCGAACTCAGAAATCCGCCTGCCTCTGCCTCCCAAGTGCTGGGATTAAAGGCGTGCGCCACCACCGCCCGGCGACCAGGAACCTTTTAACCCCGCCCTCAACCCCCACGTAAAGATTCCCCCCCACCCCGATCGCCACAGGGTGCACAGGGAAGCCACAGCAGGGGCAGCTGCCACGCCCGGGCTCCCGGCCCTGGGTTTTGGGTGGGGGAGGGGACAGCTTCTCCGTGACATCAGCCCTGTTGTGGTGCAGTGTGCAAAGCCTACTGGTTGGCGTGGCGCGGGAAACGCCTTCCGGAGGGGGAAACAAAATCGGCGCGCAGTCCGGCGCAGCCAGCCACCGCTTCCCGGAGTGCTGTCGCTTGCGCACCACCCAGCAGCTGCCAGGTGAGTGCGCCCCCGACTCGCCCGCCTCGGGTCCCCGCAACTACCGGAGCGCCTGGGACGCACCCTTCGCCTGTTGTTTTTTCTGGTCCTGTAGCAGCCCTGTCGCTTACAAGAAAAGTTTGTAGGAAAAGTGATCCCAGGAGGGAGGTGGTGAGAAGTGGCCAGAGTTAGCCCGGCAGTGCTTCCCTTTCCTGAAAACGCTGGGTCCCTCCCTATCCCGGGGCTTCCAGGGCAGCTGACTTTCGCGTGCTCTAGACCCAGGGTGACCCTGCTCCCCCCACCTCCCGCAAGTCCTGCAGAACAATCAGCGATTCTGTGGGCCACTGACACTCATTGTAAGGTTGAGGTATGAGGACATCCGTGCCACCCCTTCCCTCTCTCTCTTTTCCTGAGAGAAAGTGCCTGCGGTGGGGTGGGGTGGGGGGAGTGTGCATCTGGCTTGATAGCCCCAGAGGGCAGATAGGAGTTTTCTTTTTTCCTGAAAGAACCAGATGGAAGCGGCGGACTCATTTCACCTCCGCACTAAAGTCTAGGTGTTAGGTGAGGACTACTGAGATCGAAGAGCCAACAGGGGCTGTTTCTTGAAAACTGGGGAGTAGAAAGGGCCAGAGTGAGCGAGCACATTTATGGACGTTGCAGGGTCACCCAACAAGCTGTTATCTGACAGGTGTTTCATCCAAGTGGGACAGGTATGGGTCTATTCTGCATGTTTCTGCTCTTACACTGTTGTGATCCATCAGAGCAGGGTCTAGACTGGGAGCAATTACTTGATGTCAGGACCATCCCACCCACTTCTTGCTTCCTGAGGTGAATGAATGGACAGGCCCTTCCCCACCCTGACAGGGCACTGCAATGGGACACCATCACTGCATGCAAGTGATCCATTTGCCTTTGGTGGAACATTTATCATGAGACATACTTTGGAATCTTGGTGACAGGGTTTCTGTAAGGCAAGCAGACTTGCGTTTCAACTCAGATGTAACATTTAATATACAGATAACCTCCAGCAAGTGACAGCTCACTTTTCTTTTGGGCAGTACTTGGAGCACATATTACATACACACACACACACACACACACACCACACGCCTTAGCCCTGGCTTCCTGCTTCCCTCTTGCAGAAGCACAGTGGACTGAGCTGTTAGCACTGTTATCTTTGAGTTAGGTTGAGGATTTCCTTCAGGACTGGGCCTTAAAGCTTCCTCCCTGCCTTCCGATTTTCTCTTCTGCTTAGGAAGCCAGGTCACTGTGTTGGGGAGAGGCTGGTCTGAGCACTGCCTAGGCATCATTGGAGAATCCAGCTTGGCATTGCACAGAGAGTCCCTTTGCCTTGTTAAGGATATCCGGGGTGGCACAGTCAGTCAGGGAAGGAAATTTATCCTGAAGAGGGTGTGGTGTTGGCCTGAGGAGGTAGAGAGAACTGTGCCCAAGGCTCAAAAGCTGAGGGATTTGGGAGGTTGTTGGGGAGAATCTGAAGGGCAGGGTCTCCAGCTCTGTGACTACCTGCTGAGAAAATGTGAGAAGACTGCCTCTGGCCTGCCCTAGTGCCCGCCTTCTTGGTCCAGGTGTTTTCTTTTGTAACTCACAGACTCCAGAACCAGTCAGTCCTTACTGGGTCAGAGTTGCAGGCTGAGAGGGTAATGTTTACCCTTGATCCATGGTAAATCATCATTGGGTGATTGAAGCTGGCTATGGTGGCAATGCGTCTTTAATCCTGGCACTTGGGGGATGATGGTGGGAGGATCACAGGTTGGAGGCTAGCCTGGGCTAATATCTAAAACAACAACAACAACCATTCAACAATCAAACGCTGAGTGAATGAATGGAGTCGTAAGTAATTACCAACTAGTTTTTCTGTGACTTTAGTGTTTATAAGTTTTTATTCACTGTGGGCCTCCTGGTAGAGAAAGGAAGTTGGGAAGAAGCTTTCTGGTGGGTCCCTAAGGTTTATTTATGCAAGTAGGGCTCACTGGGCAAAATTGACTTCTTAGAAGCCTGAAGGAGGCATGGATTGAGTCCAAAGAGATGTTAGTGACAAAAGCCTCCACCCCGCCCATTCAGCTGTTTGGGATTAAGCAGACACATTGGCAAATGCTTAGAGGCACCAGACTGATTTCGATGGTCTTTCCGAAAGATTATATAGTAAGCAAGTGTCTGCGCTTGCTGCGCGCCAGCTGGAGCTAAACCCTTCTTCACCTGTGTTGTCTATTCTGAGGAAGGGGCTGCTGTCAGCTGTTGCTACAGATGAAGACACTCAGCAGTGATAAGAAATACCTCAAGACTGCAGCTAGTCCTGAGGCACTGCAATTCAAACACAAGCCTTCTGCTCCCCTCCTGTGGGTTTTCTTTGCTCCTTCACACTTCCGAATTCCAAGTCACCTAAGGAAATGGAGTCATTACTGAAGACCACTCTGTGGTGACTGATATTTAAAAGCAGGCAGAGCTTCCGTGGCTTTAGCATGGAAGGAGTCGTGGTTAGATTGCCTGACCTCCAGGTTTTCATCTGCCAGGTGGCTGAGGGTCCAGGGAGTCCCACAAGTCACTTCCCAGACTTTCGTCCCTCCTGATATGTGTCTGTGGTTTGGAGTCATATTTTCAGGAAAGAAAAAAAGAAATCCTGGGAAAGAGGCAGCCAGCTAGGGGGCCCCTGTAAGAGCTGTTGCTCGAGGAAGGAGAGGTAGCAGCCTGAATCCTGACAGGAGCCTCACCTCCTGTTTCCAGTCGTTAGGCTTGTATATGGTAATGACAGGGCTTGGACTACGCAGCTCCCCAGGAATTTGTCTGACGTCAGTGTGGAGTAATTCCCATGTATGGTAAAGTGTGTAAATACGAAGCAGCTAGTGTTTCCAGACTCTGGCATTTCCAGTGCTGTCCAAATCCATGCGAGTCTGAGGAAGAAATAGAAGGTTCGCAGCTGGAATGCAGCCCAGTGGACAAGAAGATCCCCACCCCAGGGGGTCTGGGTATTCTTCAAGTAGAGGATATGTGGACTGGATCTTTCTTGAGATGTCAGCTGTGAGCAATGCATTTACAAGGCTAAGGCTATCCTTTGGGGGTTTTTTTTCCCCCTTTTAAAAATTAATCAAAATCATTCAGACCTTTCTGTTCAACACAGGACACAAACAGCTGGTTCTGCTCTCAACATCATTCCAGACAAAAAAGCAGATTCAATTTGGTCATAACTTAATTATAAGGTCTCTTGTACTCATTTAGAAATACTTAAGGAAGTCTATGGCTGGATGTGGCCCAGCCATAGAATCTGCATCTAGTCATGGGTCCCTGTTTCCATCTGCACACATGGTAATCAGATTTCTGAACTCCAAGGGTAGAGGGCTGGGAATGGGGAGTGGGAGTCCTGGGGTGGGGTGGGAGAGCAAGATCTCAGTTACAGTCAAAATCTGGGGGACACGGGCCCTGGAGTAATGAGAGCGCAGTGAGGTCTGACTTCTCAGAGGGGAACCATGTGCAAAGGGCTAACGAATCACTTTGGGGAGACCTGTAAAGCTGGGGATGAGCTCATTTTGGGGGGTGCCCCTTTTCTACCAGGAACCTTTATCTTCAGGGTAGATCTGCTCCTTGGGTACTCAGGTGTCTCGCCTCAGATGCAGGCTCCATGGGCTCTGAACTTGTGCCACCTTCCTTCTCTCTGGCTCTGTCCTGGCTGTTCTCTGGAAGTGGGGGCGTGGAAGGGACAGCCGCAGGGTTGGAAAGGGTGACAAGACTCTTGTCATTTCTACCCAGATAAATTCCTAACAGGTCTCTACCGGACCAAGAAGGCGGGGACTTAAGCCCTGAACCCGGCAAGGCCTCTTTCACCCGAGGGAACAGGGATTATGGAGTGGGAGAGATTGGGTTTTTCCACTGGAGAAAGATGTGAGGTAGCATGTCAAGTGTTTGATGAGGCGGGCCCTTTTTGGGCATAGGTGGCTGGCAGGCTTAGAACCCAGGTGATTCGTTTGACCTGAAGCATCTGTTAGGTTTAGGATGTGTGTGAGAGTCTATGCTTCATTCCCGGCTCATGCCCACCCCACCCTCTACTGCTATAAAGGTCACCATCTTGCATCCTTTTAAGACTGAGCCTCTGTATAGCTGGGTATGAGCCAACTAGGCTGAACAGCAGACGAGAGTTAGTCTGTCTAAAGAGGGCAGCCGTTGCCTTCCAGCCTCTACCTAGCCCTGAGGATCTTGACTGTTCAAGTAAACAGCTAATGGGATGTTCCCAGCCATTCAACAGAAAATTCAGATTTTTATTCTCTTTTGAGATTATCAAGACAGTTAACTAGGACAAACAGAACAAAGTCAGCAAGTCCCAAAGGGAACAGGACAGTGTGAATGAACCCTCTGTGGATAATGCAATCACAGAAGACAGTATTGAGCCCTTGTTATTTTCAGATATGTGAAGACATGTTCTAGTCTCAATGGTAATCCTCCTGCTTCTCCAACCCCAAGTGCTGAGGTTATATGCATGTGCTCCTTTGCCCGACACCCATGACTTTTTCACCTAGGGCCACATACCAGTACGTCTGAAGAAAGATCTAGGTCCCTGCTGGGAGTCGCAGGTGGCCAGGAGTACTGGAGAACTGGACTCTAAGGAAATAGCTTGTGATAGACTCATTAGCTTGGCTGGCAGACAGGTCAGGAGACCCTCGTCCCTACGTGTTGTGTTGCATCTTAAGTCTTGCTTCTAGACATAGATCATTCGGGAAGGAAAGGTCAGGCATCTGTCCCCACTTCTGACTGGGCTAGGCTGTAGGTGGCAACCAGAGGCACGGCCTCTACAGTGCAGTTCCTCTGTCTGTTCTGTAGGCATCAGACTACAGGACTGTTCCGTCTTAGGGATAAACAGATGAAGTTGAGAAGCGCCTCGGTCTAAGAAGAGGTGCATTGCACTATTTAACCCCGGCTCCAATTTCCTAAGCACTGGGCGTGGCCTCGAGTAGGTCTTCTGTACCTCAGAACTAGGAAGGCAATTGAGAAAGAACCACCATCCCTCTGAGCCT